CTACCTATGATGTCAATTACAGGCCTCTCTCATCTTTTTAAGTGGGAGAACTTGCACAATTGGTGACTGACTAAATACTTATTTTCCCCACTGTACCAACTGTCAGCACAGAGGTGGAGGGTCGATGGTGTGGGCTTCTACAGAAAACCACTGAGGTATTGTTGCTTCAGTAGTTTCTGTTTGATCAGGAGCTGGAACCAGTTTTTCACTCAGAGTTTTCAGATTTTGGATTTGTTAAATGAATGATGGCTTGGTGGAATCTGATAGGTTGGATTTTAATAATTGTTTAATGTTTATAATCTATAATTTGTGATGTCACAGCTGGAATAATGTACATATGGACATTCAGACATTTGGGGTCACCTGGAACTGCAGACGGATCTTCACCTCTGACAAACGCCCAAGCATCTGGTTCTGATACAAACTTCTTGTAAGATGCCGCAGGAAATTTATCGACATGACTCTTACATTCATCCCTGAACCAGAACAAACAGATCAGTACGGATTGGACCAACAACACATGAGGAAGACCCATGAGGGCTTTCTCATTGTTGAAGCTGAGTTTAATTATAAGAAGAAACCAAATTAAAAGTTATTAAAAACACTGGTCAAACCAAAATTACAGCCAATTTTGTGCACAAATCTGCTGTTTGGTTCTGGAGTTGACTCACCAGGTCTTGTAGACTCCTGGTTTCAATCCATTCCTGACAGCGTAATAAAACTCTCTCTTTGGCATGTCGGCGATAAAGAAGCTCCTGGATCGGATGAAACCAGCAGCCAACCGGGAGAACATCATCGTCTGGAGGCTATCATGGTGGGTCCAGAACCGCTTTAACGACAGTAAAGTGCCTACTGAGCCTGAAACCTGCCGGGCACACACAACAGATTGTTGTAAATATAAACAATAAGCGGTAAATGCTTTATTCTCAACCGATGGCTAACAAACTGCAAACTGCTAAGTTCATTAAACTCTCGCGAGGTTTGTGCTCCTAGGCTATTGGAAGTCTCGCGATAGTTACCAACTCCCTGCTTGGTTTAATTTAGCTCTCGCGAGATTCCGGTCTCTTCCTTGGCCGTCGTTCGTAGAGGTTAGTCGTGTAAATTTCCACAGCCTGTCATTTCTGAAGAAAAAAGTCTGTTTAAAGCTGTTTAATTGTGAAGATAGTACACAAATGATAATGATCGAACGTTGATACTTTAGATTATGTAGAGTTTTGGTGCGGATGGCGGTCTGATGTTTGTTATTGAAGCGTCTAAGCAGAACGTTTGGTGTTAGCGTTAGCATGTAGTTAGCTTAGCCGAGCGTGCGTTCAGTCATCAGCCGCTGCAGGACAGACTGATGGAGCACTAATAAACTGGCTTCTTTATGTCTGCATTTACATGTTTATCACTGATAGCTGCTGGTTTGACAGGACAGCCCGACCCGAACCCATCACAACGGGCTCAGGAACAAGTTAGCCTCAAGTTTGAGATTATTTAGCCTGGACCTGGAGTCTTGAGTTCTGAGTTTTTACTTGGTGGTTCAGTGGTGCAGCCTTGCTCCAGGTGGATTCAGATGGACAGTATTTTTGCTGCTAATGTTTTCATGCCAACCTGGTGATCCAGAACAGAAACAAAGAGTCCTGCATGAAGAATTGAACCAGTTCTGAAACTTGTATCATCTGTTGCAGAGACAGAGGCCATGTTCAGTACCAGCGCCAAGATCGTCAAACCCAATGGCGAGAAGCCAGATGAGTTTGAGTCTGGGATCTCTCAGGTAAGACCTCCTGGAAACCTAACTTACACAAACACCGGTTCAGACCTGGAGTCTCTCTGTGGGGTTTACATGTTCTCCTCAGGCTTGCTGGGTTTTCTCCGGGTGCTAAGGTTTACTCCCACTACACTAAAATGAAGCCGGCCCCTCGCAAATTATTTCTATTTTACATTGAAATCACATTTTAAACAAACACTTGTGTATTTATGTTCTAACATAGAACAAAAACTAAGATTAGAGCTGATTTGATCAGATTAAAGAGGCAAATTTACCACCGAGCTGTAATAAAAGAAACCATTTAGTCTCTGTCCATCTTTAAAATGTGTCTCAAACATTTTTAAGGCTAAATAACGTTTCCAAGTGAGACAAATTCCTAAAATAATAAAGTAGCAGAGTGGTTAAAGGAGTTGTCCTAAAACCAGTAGGTTGCCGGTTTGATCCCCGTCCAGCTATCTCAGTTGTTGTGTCCGTGGGCAAGACACCACCTCTAATGCCTCTGATGTGTCCCATCAGTGTATGAATGTGATTGGTACTGATTAGTCTCCATAGATGATTGTACATGTTAGATTTGTAGAGATTCAATAGTGCTGTGTGAATGGGTAATTCAATTCAATAATACTTTATTAATCCCAAAGGGAAATTAAATATTGTTGTTGTTCTAACTCATATTATCCAGGTTTCTTTAGAGAGTTATAAGTATTGATGGCTGTGGGCAGGAAGAATCTCCTGTTGCTGAAAAAGGCTCCGACTGAAGACTCTGTTGTAGAATGACAGTCTTATGAAGAGGATGCCCAGGGTTGTCCATCGTATGGTCAGAAAACCTGGCAGGGAGATGCTGGAGTCAGGGATATGATCCCGCAGACACGTCTCAGTGAAACACATAATACTGTATTCCTGATACTCTGGCTGGGTTTATGTTAGGGCTTGGAGTTCATCCATATTGTTCTCCAACGATCTCACATCATGATTGATGGAAGAGATGGTTTGAACTTCCTCCTGTCTCTCCTCTTTGCTCCTGGTCTGCATGCACAGTGCCTGCCTTTTCCACTCCTCTGGAATTCGGGGCTGTAGTTGATGTCTTATTTGAGTTTTTGAGATGTTAATTAGCTGCTCCCGGTTATTTCAAACCACGGTGTTAGCAAAAATCCTTCCAGCCGCACAGCACCCAACAGTAGGGCTGCCACAAATTATTATTTTTATAATCGATTAATCACCGATTATTTTTTTCGATTAGTCGACTAATCAGATCATACGTTAATCGAACATAAAACATACAGCTCATCGTGCCAGAATGCAGCTGCTATTATATAACCATGGTTAGATTTTAGCTATATGCTAACTAAAAATAATTGCTGTGGAAGGCAAGTTCTGCTCTGCAGATATTGCACAGGTTTCTCTTTCATTTTCTTAAAAAAGATCCTACACTTTTGAGCTCCGTTGCTGGGTAGCCATGATACCAGAGCCTGTCTGTATAATGTCTTGTGACGTCCACGGCCTACCCCAGTTACCACTACTGTGCATGTGTGTCAAGGACAGAAAGGCAGATGTGGCAGTGGAAGGTGTCAAAGCAGTTTGGAGAGGAAAACAAAGTAAAGAACAAAAAAAAAGAAAGAAAACGATTAATCTATTAAGTTAGTCATCGATTATTTTAATAATCGATTAGTCATCAATTAATCGTGGCAGCCCTACCTAACAGCAGAGGTAACAAACATCTAAAAATAGTGACATCTATCCAGAAGAAGAGGAATTTAAAAAGTTTACAAAGAAAATTTCAGAACGAATGTAACAGAGCTACTCCAACATGCTGCCACCTTCAGCGGCACAATACGAGGTCACAGTTTGTAGTGTTAAGAGCTTTGAGTATCCTGTTTGGATAGGAAGGTGCCATATAAGTACAGTCCATTTACCATAATAGTACTTTTATTACTTTCTGGTAACAGAATATTAGAGGCCTTAATAAGCCTTGAATCTACTGTAAATCTAGCCTGGCCCTTGCCTTCCTACGCAGTTCCACTCAATTCTAGTTTCCCTTCACTGCTCCATCTGGGACTTCTCCCATAGAGAAGGATTTCTTCTGGACAATTTTCGTCCGGGCCAATCAGAGAACAGAAGGCGGAGTTTTGAACAAAATCGATTTTCTGCTCAGTGTCTGCTTGTTAGTTTAGCATATGGCAGTAGGAAGTGAATGAAGCCAGTCTGTGTTAAGGCTTCTAAATTAAATTAAATTTGTCTGACAAAGCAGCARCTCTCATTTACAGTCGTCTCGTTCGGCTCAGTACTTCTCTCAGTAAGGTTGTTTACAGAGCACACAATTTCTGGTTAGCTTCTTAGTTTAGCCTCCTTCACAGTGGAGCTGGCATACACTGAAAATCCTTGTAGCTCCTCCCCCAGTTTACCCACCAGGACACCGACAGGTCTTGGAGAGGAGCCAAGTCTCCCTCTTGGTTTGGAGGCGAAAAACCTGTCTTACAGCCACCTGGGGTGGCCTTTGTGGCTGTATCAGGTGAGTCTCCTCCAGGAGACGGGGTTGTGGGGGTTTAAGCTCGGTCTCTAGCTGCCTTCTATCTCTGCAAGTCTCAGCAAAGCATCTCCTCATGCCCTTATGGTGCCCTTAACACCACATTTCATTATTCAAACCACACTTTGCTATAAGCGTTTAAATCATTACATTTGATTACCGTTTGCCAGCATTAAAATTATGTTGTTCACTCCTTTTCTTTCTTTTCTCCTCTTTTCGGGCTGATGTTCCTCCTCCTTAGCTCCGTTTGTGATTTCTTCGTCAATCTCTTTCTCTCCCTTGCTGGAGGTCAAGGTTGGGGTCAGAAGGCCTGTTTCCAATTCCCTCAGCTGCTGGTACAGCGAGGTTTCTTGACAACACATATGCTGCGGCAAATCAATCCAATCATTTTAAACTTCAACAGAGGCCACGCCTCCAGCAAGAATCACTTCTCTATAGCTGAGAGTCCAGACCCTCGTACGAAGCAAAGTGAAGGACAAGGGTCATTCTTTTTGTGGAGCCTGGTTTTGTTAATGTCAAAGAATTCCTGTTGAACCAAACTTCAAACAACTGATTCGTTTTAGTAATTTTGTTGATTTTTTTTTTTTTTTTTTTTTTGTCTGTTTGAAGTCATTTCTGTGAATTTATTTTTATTTTTTAAAGGTACAGATTTCTGTAGATGTGTCGCTGGAAATTAAAACTTTTTTTTCTTCTTCCTCCTCAGGCTCTGCTCGAGCTGGAGATGAACTCTGACCTGAAGGCTCAGCTGAGAGAGCTGAACATTACAGCAGCAAAGGTGAAACACTTTAAAACAGAGATTCTTAACCTGTCGCGGCCCACGGGGCCTCAAAAGAACAGTTTTTAACTTTGGGCCACAGAGGGCCGTGGGACCGCATTGATTTTGAATAAGGTGCAATGAACTTTCTCACCACTAGTAGCGGTAGTGCACCACTCAGATGTTTAACAACTTTTTTAATATGTAGAAGAAAAACCTTAGCTACCTGCCGAAAATGCAAATTTATTTTAAATGAAACATAGAAGCAAAAATGAAGGAACCTGTCAAAAAAAGCCAAAGTTTGTCACTTATATAAAGTGCAGATTCTGTTTCTGTCATTCAGTATTTTAAAAGTTCATAACATTATCAAATACAGTTGCAGATACAACTATATTTTAATTTGCACTTTATCAAGTTATTTTTTGTAGTTTATTTTTAAATATTTTTAATGTATTTTAAAGAAACTTTAAACTTGTCAAAAAGCTGTTGTTGCGTTTGTCACTAATATGAAGAGCAGCTTCTGTTTGTACCACGCAAACGTTTAAAAAGGCTATATTTTAATTGTACTTTATCAAATTTAGTTTTACAGTTTTTTTGTATTTGAAACATTTAAACATTTTTAATTTATCTTATGCCCACAATTTTATTTATTTAATTTTCTATTTTTATTAATGTTAAAAATATATATTTTTGTGTCGATAACCCTGAGTGGTCTGTAGACTGACTGTTGTATTTGTTCAAATAATTGTTGGGGGCAGGTTACGATATAAAAAATTGTTTGTCATAATCATGTCTTGTGATTATTTGACAGGAGTTTTACTTTTAAACTGTAAATATATTTAATTTAGTTATAATGTAAATAAAAATTAAACCAAGATTTAGAATAATTATCATTTTGATCCATACATTGGTAATGTGTGACTGGGCCTCGTGTTGCTTTATGTTCAATAAATTGGGCCCCAAAGTCAAAAAGGTTAAGAACCCCTGCTTTAAAACACCTGTCTCATAGTTTTAATTGAACATGTTGGTCTGTCCCCCGACATGGACATCTAGGAGACATGTCTCCTGGCTCTGTCCTGGTGGCGTATGGGAGCGTAGCTCTGAGCTGAGACGTACAGTCCCGTTCCACAATGTCAGACAGAAAGCTGTGTCCCCGGCTGCTGCTGGTGAGGACCAGCGTCCTGTATATTCCTACACCTTCCCAGAGTCCTTTGGGACCRTGACTGGGGAGACAAACCATGCAGGACACAGACTTATTTAATTATTCTGAAGGTTTGAGGAGTAGGCGAGCTGTGGCCTGTTCCAGATGTTCCTCCTTGTCTCAGCTGTCCATCTCTGTGCCGTAGGAAATCGAAGTGGGTGGCAGCAGGAAGGCCATCATCATCTTCGTTCCTGTTCCTCAGCTCAAGTCCTTCCAGAAAATCCAGGTGCGTTTAGTGAGGGAGCTGGAGAAGAAGTTCAGCGGGAAACATGTGGTCTTCATCGCACAGGTGAGTGGCATGATGGTTGGTCTATGTGTGACCCTGTGTCTGACATGGACATCTAGGAGACATGTCTCCTGGCTCTGTCCTGGTGGCGTATGGGAGCGTAGCTCTGAGCTGAGACGTACAGTCCCGTTCCACAATGTCAGACAGAAAGCTGTGTCCCCGGCTGCTGCTGGTGAGGACCAGCGTCCTGTATATTCCTACACCTTCCCAGAGTCCTTTGGGACCATGACTGGGGAGACAAACCATGCAGGACACAGACTTGGACTTCAGGTTTCATCTGATGTCTGAGTGAAACTGATCACATCTGAAAACTGCTTTAAATTTGTCTCTTGTCCTTGTGGAGGACAAGCCTCAGCCTGTTCTCATGAAGGAACTTTTCTGTTTCAGAGGAGAATTCTGCCCAAACCCACCAGAAAAAGTCGCACGAAGAATAAACAGAAGCGTCCCAGGAGGTGAGTGCATTGAGTGTGGCAGATGTTTTCAACATGTTCTATACGTTCACAGTCAGGTCCGTACATGTGGGACTTGGATCTCACTGTAAACACCACCATGGATTGGAAGATGGGCTTTATCTGCAGACTTTCAGCTCTAAGTTCAAGTTTTTACATCTAAATCTAACCTGACTTGGTTTTCTTGTCAGGGTTCCTGTGGATCCTTAAAAAGTCTTAAAAGGCATTGAATTGATCAATTCAAAAATAAGGCTTTAATTAGCATTAAAATGTCTTAAATCAATCTTTCAGAGGTCTTAAATATGTTAACACATTGTACGTAGGATGACTAATTCGTCTCAAATATTACAATAATTGGTAACTTATTTGTTTTTTAAAATAACTGACCGAATGCCTCTTACAGCTCGTTTTGTTTAAATATTTGGTAAAAATTGTTGCTAACTGGCCTTTTTTCCATTAGTGTTTTATTGTAAATTTGGTCTTAAATTTCATTATAATTGGCATTAATTGGGTCTTATGAAGTCTTAAATTTGCCTTGCCTTAAGCTGTAGGAACACTGCTTGTATTTGTTGATGTGATGCTGACTAAAGCAGCAGGATGAGTTCTGCAGAGCTCTGCTGTCTTCAGACCAAACAGGATTTGAGGATCAGGTTTACATGTGACGTTTATGATAGATGCGCACTGAGGGGCGTCGGAAGTGTTCTGCTCATCTAGCGTGGTGGTTTGAAGGTTTGACGTGTGTCAAGGGGTGTTGGCAAGTAGGGCTGCAACAATGAATCAATAAAAAATGATTATTGAAAGCATTGACGATGATTTTCATTATCTATTTGTTGTGTTGCGCGATTTATGCGTCTCTCTCCATGTCGCAGAGCTGTTAATGTCACCTGCAGAGCGTTGTCAGTGCTGGCTGACTTAAATAAAGTTTGGGAAGAAAAAAAACTACCTATAAAGATTTGCCCTCTCTGAGACCCTCAAATGAAAAGTAGAGACTTCAAACGTTAAATCGGTATTTAAATCGTGTTGTTAGGCCAAGGAGTTCCGACGTTATGATAAAGTATATGCCACATTTAATTTTTCTTAAATGATGGTCTGATTTGATGCGCACCGCGTTGTGAGGAGGAAACGCGTCCCGTGGCGGGAAAAAAAGTACCTCAGTCCACCGTTTGTTTCCTTCTGTTGGGCCAAAAATATAAAACCCTCGTCTTTTTTTCTGACCAAGGCTCAAAGTTATTTGTTAAGCAGCAAAAATGTTCAGGACTAAGGGGGGAAAAAAGAAAAAGACACGAGCAGAACTCCTGGTCTGACTCAGTAGGGGAGGAGGGGGGGCTGCATCAGAACCCCTGACTGGGTCGTTTTAGCCACAGACAGAACCAACAAGAAGGAAGCAAAACAAAGAATTAGAGAAAAATCATAAATTCTAAATGCAAATAAATTCTAATTATGACAAATTATAGTTTTACATCTAAAAATCATATTTTATTAGTTTTATGTTTTTCCTCATTCAGCAACCTATAAAATTTCGGTTATATTATGTTTTATAGCTCTAACCATGTTTATTAATGTATGAGAAATCCACATTATTTTTTTCAGTCGGTGTTTAATATGGCTGAGAAAATCGATTGTGACAATATTTATGACGTGCTTCTTTTTTTACTTTTAACATATTTTAAAAAATCCTTCATGTTATGAAAAGACTGTTGATTCAATAGAAAACTCTGGTTTTAAAGAAAATGGCTGCTTATCAATTAATTGTTAGTCAATCTATAAGATAAATAAACTTCAGACTACTTCACATTAATCGATAACATGCATCCCTACAGGAATTATATTGATTGAAATCTTTTTATATTTATGTAATCAAGTGTTTTAATGATTTGGCTGATTAATCGATTATTAAAATAATCGTTAGTTGCAGCCCTATCTGCAGCAACCAATCAGAGACTTCGCTGTGGGACGTGGTGGTATTTTCTGATGGGATGGTCTCCAGAGTTATGGTGCGTTCACACCAAACGCGATTTCAGCGTCAGGAGCAGCAGGTTTACATACAGAGTCTATGGTGGACGCGCTTCAAGCAGCGTCGGGAAGTTCTGCGGCGCCTCAAGCGCGATTAGAGCAGCGCGATCTGAGCGTTCGACGTGCTGAGGCGCAAATCGCTGAAGTTAGAAAATCGGAACTTTTGCAGCTCGACGCGCCGCGTCAACCAATCAGAGAGACTCCACTGTGTGACGTAGCGACATATTTCCCGACGGGACAGTTTACTGAATGATGTCCACTAACCTGAAACAGATGGAGAGGAGCTCTTTAGCTGAAATCGAGTGCCTGCAGTCGTGTCCTGACAGGAGATATCTGCACCAATGTGTGGCAGCGGCTCATCAGACTGGACTCGGGACAAAAATAGTCCTGAAAGCGAGCTGTGAGCCTCTCCAGCAGCTCCTGGGTGATGAAACTCAGAATGTCTCTGAATTATCTGGTGAATTAATTATGAATTAATTATCTGATGAACGTGACATGCTCTTGCTCTCTGTAAATAAAGCAAAGCCACTTCCTCGTCCAACATTAAACAGAGCCCGACAGAGGAGGGAGGGGCGGGGAGGCTGTCGCCGTGCAGCGCTTCAAGAGCTGACCTGCGTCTGACCTCAAAGTGCACAAGAGACCAACTTGAAGTGTTGGATGTGATTTTGAAGCTGAAATTGCGTTTGGTGTGAACGCATCATAATACCCACTAACCTGAGACAGATGGACAGGAGCTGTTCAGCTGAATTACACTGAAACCTGGCAGGAGATGTGGGTCAGCAGCTCGTCAAACTGGACTTGGGACAGACAAAAATAGAGCTAAATGTGAGTAGGCCTGTCACGATAGTTCATAAATCAATTAATCACATGATAAATTATTTTTAGGTCGATTTAAAAAAAAAAGGACATTTTCATTTGCCTGGTTATTTGTTTACTTAGTCTCTCCCTCTCTGTGCTCCGTTGCACAGGGGGCTCAGCTGACCCCTCCCCTCCCATTTTCCTAGTGTGGGGAGGAGTGAACTCTCGCGTGGTCTTGTACTTCTTTAGCATGTGAGCTTGTAACAATAAACTAAACGATGACGGGATTCTGAAAAATGGACATGGAACTGGTTTCAAAGCAGAATGCGACAGTTGCAGTGTAGGAGCACTTGCAGGGCCTGAAATTCACTGCAGGGATTGCGCGTATTATGATCGATTCCCTCAAATTTTTGTGTGAATTTCCCGCATTGTATAAATTCCAACGATTTGTAATTATGTGGGAGTTTTTATCAGACTATTTTTAGCTGACTACTAGTACCAAATAAACGTTACCACTTTCTGTTCAGAAGACATGGAAACAGAGAGAAGGGGTAGAGGCTGATGCTCCCCCACCTCTGTACTGCGACAGACTTGTCAAAATCTGAGACTTTACCTGTAGCTCCCAAAAACAACAGGAAACTGAAACGCACCATCTGTTTTAACAAAACACCCAAAAAACAGTGGTTGTCCCAGCAACTCATGAAGAAAACTCTGAACTGATTTCCTCCCACGCAGTGCTCTACTTGTCTCCTCACTGTCCCCCCCCCACACACACGTTTGTTCTTCTATCCTCATGGGGACTTTGCATTGACTTTCATTCATTTACCAGTATTTTCTATTACCTATTTGACCCTAAACCTAGCCTAAACTTTACATAGGATGTGAACTGGGCTTAAGTCCTCATAAGAAAGAGTGGGTCCTCACCAGGCTGTGTAGTTTGCTTCATCTCTAAAGAGATGCTGCTCTTTAATATTGTTTATTTACTGTCTTAGTTGTGTGTGGTGTTTAATTTACATTTTGTTCTTTTTTTTATTGAAGTGTGTTTTTTGTTAGAGACAGTCCATTTTGTTAAACATTCTATAAAAATTAAAGTTTATTGATCTTTGAGAGGATGTACTTACATTATTATGCTTTTATCATTATATTAGTTTTAAAATTGTCACCAGACAATATTAACGTTTATCACAATAATTTCTGAGACAATTAATCGTACAGCAAAATTTGTTGTAGTGACAGGTAGGGCTGCCACAAACAATTATTTTTATAATCGATTAATCACCGATTATCTTTTCAATTAGTCGACTAATCGGATCATATGTTAATTGAATATAAAACATACAGCTTATCACGGCAGAATGCAGCTGCTATTATATAACCATGGTTAGATTTTAGCTATATGCTAACTAAAAATAATTGCTGTGGAAGGCAAGTTCTTCTCTGCAGATATTGCACAGGTTTCTGTTTCATTTTCTTAAAATGATCCCATATTTTTGAGCTCCGTTGACA